AGTTACAAATGGCTATTAGCTACCACGTGAGGGCTAGGAACTGAACCTGAGTCCTCTGCAAGAGCAGATAGTGCTCTTAACCTCTGAGCCATCTCTCCAGATTATATTGAGTTCTTTTTTTTTTTTTTTGTCTTTTTGAGATAGGGTCTCCCCGTAGGCCCAGCTGTCCTGGAACTCACTATGTAGACCAGGCTGACCTCGAACTCACAAAGATCTGCCTGCTTCTGCCTCCCAAGTGCTGGGATTAAAGGCTTGCGCCACCACGCCCAGCTGGATATGCCCTTTTTATTTGGAGATTCCCCCAAAGAGCCTCATTTTTGAACTTTAGTGTCCCCTAAGACCGTCTTTGGCTTCTGTTTAGCGTCACCCTGCCCTCGGTTTGGGGTGAGAGGACCCTCTGGCGGTGCTGGCGTGGCCTCCATGGGGCCGCGTTTTACCCTCTTCCTGGTGGCTCTAGCCCACTGCCTGTGCCCTGCGAGACTTTGCATCATATGTGACCCATTTGTGGTGGCGGCGCTAAAGACCTTGGAGCAGAGTTACCTGCCTGGCCACCTGGCGCCCGAGCTTCACGAAAACGTGATGAAGAGGGTAGAACAGGCGGTGGAGGACTTCAAGGACTTGCCTTTGAATCACGACACCTATGTGGGGGCCGTGGGTGAGGAGGGCAGGGCAGGGCAGGGCAGGGGAGCAGTCCTCCGGGGGTCCTGGGAGAGGAGGGTTTGGGGCCAGAAGTCCTAGTCCAGGGATGGCAGAGGCTGGATGCAGGTACTCCTGCGCTGGGGGAATAGAAAAGTTTTGCCATACAGAATCCAAGGATTCCCCAGCGCTCAATAGCAAACTCGAATGATAAAACTACAACTCCCAGAAAGCAAGAGCTGTTAGTCCCCCCCAACCAGGCCCCTGCCCAATGGCACCATGGGTATTGTAGTTTCTATGAGGAGGCAAGCCAGTGAGACAGACAAACTGGACTCTGGGGTACTATATCTGCCCCTCACACACAGATGAAGACACCCTGGAACAAGCATCCTGGAGTTTTCTGAAGGATCTGAAACGAATCACAGACAGTAATGTAAAAGGTAAATGCACCAGGCCAAGCCCTGTGTTAAATACTTGAGTTTAGGGAGCACTTTGCCCTGCTCTGCTTCCTCCCAGGAGGGCCAGTGTATGGTGTGCCAGCCCCAACACGTGCTGCAGGCTTGTACTCCCAGTTATTCAGGAGGTTAAGGCAGGAGGATCGATCGAGTCCAATAGTGAGATTCAGTCTCAACAAACAAAAAAGAGGACTGGGGCTACTCATGATGGCTCATGCCTTTAATGCCAGCACTCCAGCACTCAGGAGGCAGAAGCAGAGGGATCTCTATGAGTTTTAGGCTAGCCTGCTCTACATAATGAATTCCAGGTCATCCAGGCCTACAAAGTGAGGCCTTATCTCACAAAAAGAGGAGGGCTGGAGAGAGGGGTCAGCAGTTAAGAGCTCTTGCGGAGGACCAAGGTTTGGTTCCCAGCACTGATGTGAGGTGGCTCACAACCACCTGTAACTCCATTTCCAGGGGTTCCAATACCCTCTTCTGGCCTCTGTGGGCACTTTCAGGCATGTGGTGCACATACAAACAGGCACACACACATAATTTTTTTTTTAAAGGTTAAAACAAAGGCTGGGTGTGGTGGCTCATGCCTTTAATCCTAGCCCTCGGGAGGCAGAGGCAGGCGAATCTCTGTGAGTTTGAGGCCAGCCTGGTCTACAGAGCGAGTTCCAGGCCAGCTGAAGCTACAAGGAGACCCTGCTTCAAAAAGAAGAAGAAAAAAAAATGTTAAAAAAAGAGAAGAGGGTGGGGCATGGCAGTACATGTCTGAAATCCCAGAATTTGGGAGGAATAGGCAGAATGATCAGGTGTTCAAGGTCATCCTCAACTACATAGTGAGTACCAGTCCACCCTGAGATGTGTGAGACCCTGTTTCTTATTGGAGTACATGGAATGCTAGGCTCAGCGCCTCACACCTGAGTTTTTGGAGCACTTTGCCCTGTTCTACTTCCTCCCAGGAGAGCTCTTCGTAAAGGAGCTGTTCTGGATGCTCCGTCTACAGAAGGACATCTTTGCCAGTCTTGCTACTAGGTTCCAAAAAGAAGGTGAGGGAAGATGGAAGTCCTTAACCCTCTCCTCCATCCAACCCCCAGGGACACCTGCCCCCAGATCCTTCCCCTTCCTACCTCAGGGAACCCAAACTTCAGCTCTTTGCTGAGCTCCTCTCCCATTATCTTAGAAATGGTAGCAAAGGCCAGTAATCCCAGCACTTGAGAGACTGAGGCAGGAGAATTGCAAGTTAGAGGCTGGTGTGGGCTATATACAAAGATGCTGGGAGGAAAAAAGTCAGGTGTGGTGGTGCACTGCTGTAATGGCAGCACTTGGTGGGCAGAGGCAAGAGAGTAAGTTCCAGATCATGCTGGGCTACATAGCAACTTTGAGGCCAACCTGGGCTACATCCAGACATGGTGGCTCACACTTACAGTCCCAGGACTTGGGAGGCTGAAGCAGGAAAGTGATGTCAGTCCAGGCCAGCATGGGCTGCAAAGTGAGCTTGAGGCTAGCCTAGAATAAACAGAAAGTGTCAAAAAAAAAAAAAAAAAAAAAAAAAAAAGAAAAAGAATCTGACTCTCTCTCTCTCTTCCTCCCCACCTTCTATCTTCGGAGGCAGTTTATTGTCCCAACAAATGTGGTGAGTCCAGATGTAGAAGCTGTCCCTCTGCCCTCACCTAATCCCATGAGCGCCCCCCCCAGCCTCCCCTCTGGAATGAGGGGCTTTGTCACCTCCATCTGAGCAATCCCTAGGTCTCCAATACTCTTTTTAGCTTGGATTTCTCGGGTAGTGGGTAGTATTTTATTTGAAGTCCTTACCCAGCCTCATTGGGGCATGAACAACCTAAAGATTTGGAGCACACAGTTACCTCAGCCTTTGGGCCTTGCCAAATTCTCCTTTTGGCCCCACCTCTTAGTGGGAAAATACAACTTTAACCTTTGCCCTTCAGGCACGATGTTGCAGACTCTGATCTGGTGTAACAGGTGTGAGAAGCAGGTCCACGCTTGTCGGAAATCCATGGACTGTGGGGGTGAGCACCAACCAGAGGGAGGGCCTGGTGCAAGAAGGGCGGGGCCTAGCGGACAGTGCAGCAGCGCCCAGTGTAGCCCAGAAGGGGCATGTCACAGCCCCCTCCTTTTCACAGAGCGCCTTGTGGAGGTGCATCGTATGGAAGACATGCTCCTAGACTGTCAGCTCAGCTGGCATCATGCTTCTGAGGGACTGACGGATTACAGCTTTTACAGGGTGGGGACATCAGCTTCTGTCACCCTTGAGCCCAAGTATACTAGGCCTCTGTGAGCGCGTGCATCTCCTGTCCTGCACCCGACACTCATGGCCTGTTGGAGGTGTCCTCTACAGATCCCCCTCAGAGAGCCCAAGCCCTGCCCGGGGCCCCGCCCCTCTGCCCAAGTCCTGCCCCATCCGAGCCCCGCCCCCATTGGCGGGTGCCTGCTCAGCAGTCCCCCAGTTTCTTGGGTCCCCTGCACTGAGGCCCCGTGACCTTCTCACCCTGTACTCCCTCAGACCCTGAATTCCCCAGGCTTCTATGACCCCTTGAGCTTGGGTCTAGGTTTGGGGGAACAGTACTGAGATCTTGTTGGCCAAAGGGAAAGAACCTTACCTGACCAAGACATCAGTATCTTCAGAGGATGCCGGCAACTACCGCTGCGAGCTGGGCACCATCAGCTCGGGTCCTGCCACCATCATCCATTTTCATGTCACAGGTCGGTGCTGGGGTGTGGGGATGGGAGAAACTCTAGAGGTGTGCTCTTAGCCTTGGGGCGTGGCCTCTGCTTCGAGGATGTGGCTCCAGCTCTGGGGCGTGGCTTCAGCTGCTTACTTGGGCTGCACTAAGGGGGTGTAACTTCCTGCCTGAGGTATTACCTCTTGCTTCAGGGGTCAACTTCTTGGGGTGTACCCTGTAGAGGGCTGGGGTCCTGGGGAGAATTGTCTTCATTTGCTGCTGCCAGGACTGCCCTTTGGCTCTTCTCTGTCAGTGTTGCCCCTAAGGATCTTAGAGGAAAAACCGGCACCAAACGTCATAACCCAGGAAGAGATAGAGATGTCAGAGCCCTCGGAGTTGGAACCTGTCACTACAATGATTCAGTATACGAAGCCACAGAAAAATCTGAAACACCGCCTCTTAGTGCTGCTGATCCTTGGTGTCATAATCCTGGGGGCCAGCATCATTGCCTCGTGAGCCCTCCACTGGGAAGTGGGGCCTGCGGGGGAGGGAGAGTAGGGCTTTAAAATGGGCAGGGCCAGTGATTGGGAAGAGGGCTGGGGACGTTGGTTGGCGAAGGGGTTGGCTTGGGAGGGGCTGGTGCTTAGTGGGGTTAAGAGTGGAGGCCTGGCTGGGGACGGGACTTGAGGGGAGGGGTGAAATTTGAATGGAGGAGAGAGGCCTGAATAGTGGAGGTGGGGTTTGGATGAAGAGGCGGGCTTGGAAGGAGGCGGGGTTTGGGTAGCGGTGTGGCGTAGGCCCTGTATTGAGGGGTGTGGCTTGAATAGCGTGGTGTAGCCTTGGATGGGGTGGAGGTTGAAGAAGAGCAGGCTTAAAGGGAACAAGGGCTTGGGTGGAGGGGTGGAGCTTCAATGAAAGGGCGGGGCCGTTGGAAGGAGGGGCTTGGAGCCACGCCCCCTTTCACTCCCCTAAGCAGCTGGGGCTTGGATAGAGAATGGGGGCTGCCTAGAGCTCAGTGCTGAAGCAGGCTTGGGAGCTACTGGGTGCCTTCCTTTGGTGGTGCTCACTTAGGAAGGCCAGGTTTCCATGAACTACTAGGTTATCTTTATGAGGGCGTGGGGGAGTGTTCCTCACTCGGCTCATGACGTAATGATCTATTCCTTACACCCCCTGTTGTGCACCAGAATACTTCACTTCAGGAAAGCTAGGACTAAATCAAAGACTTCAAGTTTGGATATCAAGTCCTCACGGGTGGAAATCAAATCCTCAGGCCTGGACAGGTCCACACAGCTGGAGCAGCTTTCACAGGCTATAGAAGAAAGGACATCCTCAGAGGTTGAGAGTGGGGCCGAAGAGGAATCAGAAGAAAAGCCACAAAACCAATAAAGATTTGTCCTGTTGTCTGAAATCTGACTCACTCTTGGGGACTGGTCCTCACTTCTGGTTCCCTGAGAGTAGAGGTCTGGATGTGCCCGTCTGATGGGGGTGGTGGGAGTGGCTGGCACCTGGGACCCCTGGGTCCCTATGCAGGAGGATGTGCACTGACAGTGATCTAATTCCAGAGTCAAGGCTCAGGGCAGGCCCAACTCAGCCCTGACCTCCTCCCCCAGGCTTGGTCTCCTCACAGGACGCCCCCTCCCCGCTCTTCCTGCCGGGTTTCCTCTTGCCTTTTCCTGTCCCCCACCCAGTGCTGGGAGCTTGGGGCAGAGGCAAACACTTTACAGAGGGATTGGGACATTACTGAGGCCAACGGAGCCAGGGCCTCCGGGTGCTACGGGACCCGAAGCAGGGTAAGAGCCAGAACGATGTGCCATCTTGGGACCTAGGAGCCCAGAGCCCCATCCCTCTCCTTCCCTGGGATTCAGGAATCTGATCTCACTCCTTCCCCTTCCTCCCGAATCCCCCCGCCTTTCCTGCCCCCAGCATTCTGTGGCCTTAGGGTTTGGGACCTTACCCCCTTTCCCTAGGGCAATGCTATCTGGTGAACGAAAGGAGGGCGGAAGCCCCCGCTTCGGCAAGCTCCATCTCCCAGTGGGTCTGTGGATCAATTCTCCAAGGAAGCAGCTAGCCAAACTGGGGCGGCGGTGGCCCAGCGCTGCCTCTGTCAAGTGAGTGACCAGCTTCTGCCTAAACCTGCCTCTCTGTCCGTTTACCACTGACTTACTCGAGGGACCCTGCAAGGGTGGGCTGTGGTTCCTGTCCTGAACAGACAAGTGAGCTGGGGAGAGAGAGTGGTACCCTGTGCCATCGGAATACAGGAAGAGAAGAGCTGGATAGGGGGCATGGGGTCAGGCCAGATAAACACTGGGATGGGACACACCACACAAGCCACACGGTTTTGATTCACCTTCCTTCCTCCCCTCTCTGCTCACCTTGGAATTTCCCTTCCTGGGACACACCTTTATTGATTAATTTATCATTTATTCCTCTTTGTCTCCATCCATCTTGGTTCTCTCCTCCCCTCCCTCCCTCATCGCCTTCTCTCCGGTCTCTGTCCCTCTCTCCCTGGGTCTTTGTTTGACTCCGTCTGAGTCTCTGTCCTCTACGGTCTCTGTCTTTCTCTGTCCCCCTCTGTCTCTGTGTGTTTCTATCGGGGTCTCTCTTGCTCTCTGGGTGTCTCTCCCCCACTTGTCTCCCTGTCTCTGGGTCTCTTTATCCATTTCCCTTTCTCACTGGGTCTCTCTCTCTCTGGGTCTCTGTTCCACTCTCTCTGGGTTTGTCCCCCAACTGTCTCCCTTTCGTTGGGTCTCTTTCTTGAGTCTCTGTCTCTTTGTCCCCTACCTGTGTCCTTCTCTCTGGTGTCTGTCCCCCACCTCTGTGTCTCTCTGGGTCTCTGTCGCTCTCTGGGTATCTGTCCCTCACCTGTCTCCCTCTCTCTGGGTCTTTGTGCCCCACCTGTGTCTCTCTGGGTCTCTGTCCCCCACCTGTGTGTCTGTCCCCACCTGTCTCCCTCTCTGTTTGGGTCTCTGTCCCCTACCTGTCTCACTCTCTGGGTCTCTGCCACTCTCTGGGTTTCTGTGTCCCATGTGTGTCTCTGTCCCCATCTGTCTCCCTCTCTCGGTCTCTCTGGGTCTCTGCCGCTCTCTGGGTTTCTGTCTCCCACCTGTCTCCCTGTCTCTGCCCACCTCCCAGGTCCTCGTCCTCTGACACGGGCAGCCGCAGCAGCGAGCCCCCGCCGCCGCCACCTCACGTGGAGCTGCGGCGCGTGGGCGCGGTGAAGGCGGCGGGGGGCGCGTCGGGCAGCCGTGCCAAGCGCATCTCGCAGCTGTTCCGGGGCTCGGGCACCGGGGCCGCGGGGTCGGGCGGCGCGGGGGGCCCCGGCACCCCGGGGGCGCAGCGCTGGGCCAGCGAGAAGAAGCTGCCAGAGTTAGCGGCAGGCGTGGCGCCAGAGCCCCCGCTGCCCCCTCGCGCCCTGGCGCCCCCGGGCGTGCTCAAGATCTTCGGCGCCGGGCTGGCCTCGGGCGCCAACTACAAGAGCGTGCTGGCCACAGCGCGCTCCACCGCGCGCGAGCTGGTAGCCGAGGCGCTGGAGCGCTACGGGCTGGCGGGAGGCGCAGGCCCGGGCGACGCGGCGGGCGTGGGCGGTGGCGAGTGGCGCGCCGAGCACCTGCGCGTGCTGGGCGACGCGGAGCGCCCTCTGCTGGTGCAGGAGCTGTGGCGCGCGCGGCCTGGATGGGCGCGGCGCTTCGAGTTGCGCGGCCGGGAGGAGGCGCGCCGCCTGGAGCAGGAGGCCTTTGGGGCTGCAGATGCAGAAGGTGAGCGGGGGGGCGGGGCCACAGGAAGAAGAGCCTAAGGGAACGAAGGTGGAGCCAGGAGGGAGGCATGGCCAGTTAGCTGACAGCTG